TCCAGCCATGCCTGAATCCATTCCTACACCCGGATCTAGCCATGCCTGAATCCATTCCTACCCCTAGATCTAGCCATGCCTGAATCCATTCCTACCCTTACACGAACGGTTTCCTGAGCTGACACATTTTCTACTTTGCCACTGAAATGTCCTGACAAACCTACAGAGGAAGCTGCTTCCTGGCTGTGCAGGCTCGCGGTCAGCATGGTCCGTGCTTACCGCCCCCACCCCGAGATCTCCGCACACAGCAGCCCCACTCACCATGACGGGGGTGGTCATGCCCTGCAGGTGGAAGACGTCCATGCCTGCCTCTGCGCCGCCCACCACCTCATTGTTTCCCTGGCTGGACTGGGGCAGGTCAAAGTAGGTGCTGTCTGGTTCCCTGGGAATACAGGAACAGAGCCATCAGCCCTGCCCAGGCCCAGGGCTCGGGGCTGGCCCTCAGCTCCCAGGGGGCCTGCCCTTCAGCCCCCCGGCTGTCTCCTCTGCCCCCTCCCTCCTCCTCTGGCCTCTCCAGGGCTAGGCCACCGGGGAGGCGTAGCCCCACCTGAGCTCTGTCCCCTGGACCTCTCCTGGCCCAGACTCCTCTGGACCCTGCATCCCCAGGAGAGAGCCCACACCAGCAGCCCCCGCCTCCCCCTCACCTAGCCTGAGTCCAGCCTGCCAGCCGGAGGAAATACTCACAGGGAGTTCCAGAGATGCTCGAACGTGGCCCCCTCGTCCACGGTGTTGGGCTGGGACATCTTCTCGGCACCCGGCCCGGAGGGCGGCTCGCTCTGCAAGGAGGGAAGAAGGACAGTGAGTGCTTTGGGAAGGCCGGCCTCTGCCCCGCTTCATCCTCCCCTGTCCCAGGCAGGACCCCACCTAGCGGAGGGGCAGGCCTGGCTCCAGACCCACGTCCTACCCTTGGACAAACGGTTTCAGGAGCTGACACATTTTCTACTTTGCCACTGAAATGTCCTGACAAACCTATGGAGGAAGCTGTTTCCTGGTTCTGCAGGCTCGTGGTGTCAGCATGGTCCATGCTTACCGTGCTGGGGGGTGCCGCGGGCAGCCGGGGTTTCTATTCACTCTGAACTGTGTCTCTAGGCTTGGCCTTCGGGGCTCAAGCCAGGTTTGGGGGCTCCCGATGCCCCAGGACGTGAGGACAGCTCAGATCCCGGGTCACCCCCTCTTGGGAAGGGCATGTGCAGGGCAGGCCCTGAGGCCGGAGCCGAGCCCCGGGTCTGAGGTTGGCTGTGCCCCATGGCTGTAGGATGTCAGCCAGCCGTCCACCTCTGAGACAGGGCCCTCCCCTGTGGCCTGGACACAAAAGCAGTTCGGACCCCAGGAGGCAACCCCAGGCCAAGGCTGTGAGGTTGTCACTGGAGTGGGATCACTGCACGGTGGTCCCTGTCACAGGAGATGCCCAGGGCCTGGGGTGCCCAGACAGGCTGGCCTCTGTCCCCAGGGTTTCCTCTCCCGAGAGCGTCCACACCCAGCTCCCACCCCGCAGTGGGCCTGCCATCCTGGAACCGGGCCAGGCACAGCCGGGGCCCCTGTCCTCCTGTGGTGGGGAGGGGCAGGGAAACCAGAGCCCGCCCTGCCCACCGCCCCACCCAGGCCAAGATGGTGTCTCCCCGGAGCCGGCCTCCGGGTCCTTGGCTTGGCCACGGTCCGCCTGGCAGAGCCCCAGCCGGCAGGCCCAGACCTGCCCGCAGCCGCCGCGGGAGGGAGGGCACACCCGCAATCTGTCACTTTGTCCCCAGGCAGGCGGGCGCTGGTGGAGGTCTGCGACACTCTCCCGGGGGCCGCCACGTGCCAGGCCACTGGTCTCCAGAGCAGTGGCGTGGTCCAGGAGGGCTGCCCCAGGGGCTGGCCCGAGCGCTAAGGCGGGCCGAGCAAGGACGGCCTGGGACTGGCAGTTTAGAGAGCACTGGCCCCAAACCAACTCTCCTGCAGGCTCAGAGAGGTTAAGTGACCTACTGAGATCACACAGCACAGCCATATGCACGGGAATGAGAGTGGTTTCCTCAGCATTCAGAATTAACTGAGTCCCCCTCCCCCCCCCCCAGCACACACCCTTCAGCACATGATCTACCCACGGGGCTGTTTGTTTTTTATTTATTTGAGAGACAGCAAGCATGTGCACGTGCAGGCAGAATCTCAAGCAGACTCCGTGCTGAGCGGGGAGCCCGACGCAGAGCCCGATATCACGACCTGAGCTGAAACCAGGAGCCGGATGCACCACAGACTGAGCCCCCCAGGTGCCCCAGCCCACAAGGGTTTTAACAAGGCTGGGCAGTGCTCACTTGCATGTCTCCTGTTCTGGGGAGGTCACTCCCGCCCTGGGCTGAGCTGTCCAAAGCCCAGTGGAGCGGAGTGCTGGGCGTGGAGCTGGCCACCCGGTAATTCGGAAGGGGGTGGACTTGGTAGAACAGCACCAGCTGCCGGGCTGTGGAGCCAGCCGCCAAGCTGAGGCTCGGCAGAAACCCGCCCCCAGCCGTTCCCTAAGGCTGGCTCTTTCTGGGCGAGCAGGGATTACTGGTCGAGCGGCCCTGGGGTGTGCGGGGAGTGCGCCAACAGGAGGTCCTCTCGTCCAGGCCGTTTGGGCCCACCCTCTTCAATTTGCAGATGGACCGTCCAAGCCCAGAGATGGAAGACACTTGGCTAACGTCACACAGCAAACGGTCAGCAAGACCCTGCAAGTCTAATCGCAGCGGCCGAAAGAGGGCCCAGCCCACATGAGCCCCAACGGACGAATGGACAGACCAACGGGGTCCATCCACACAACGGGGTACCACTCGACCACGGGGAGGAACGAAGCATGGCGGCTCGCTGCTGCGTGCGTGAGCCTTGAGGACATCCTGCTGAGCGAGGGAAGCAGGCATCCCGGGACTGCGCAAACGTCGCGCCCACCACAGACAAGCCAGCAGGCAGCGAAGGCAGGTCTCCGGTACCAGGGCTGGGCCGAGGGGGCCGGGGAGTGACTGCGAAGGGGTACGGGGTTTCCTGTGGGAGCGGTGGAATGTCCTGGAGCCGGATGGAGGTCCTGCACAGATTGTGACTGTACGAAATGTCACTGCATGGTTCACCTTCAAAGGGTTAATTTTATATTACGTGAATTTCACTCGATAAAAAAAATTAATCAAAGACACAAGAGACTCAGTGCTGCAGAGCACGTGGTGGGTACTTACCCCACCAGCTGCAAAGAAAGGAAAACCCTCCATGTCCCAAAGCCCAGCGTCCGGGAGCCGGCACAGGGAAAGGGGAGACACTCAGCCTCCAGCCCCGGCACCTCCCTCCCAAGGGAACGGCTAGGGAGGTGACACTCCAGAGCACCCCCCCCACTCCAACCGCCAGGGGACACAGCCAGCATGTCTGCCCTCCCCCCTCGCCCTGCTTCACCCCGAGCTGCGCCCAGTCAGCCCGGCTCTGGCCGGGGGACCTCTCACCTGCTGTGACAGCAGGGCGGGGGGCAGGGCAGACGGAGCCGGCCCGGCCACACTGGACGGCAGCAGGAAACTGACACCCAAGTCCCTGGGGCCCTGGCAAGGGGCGGGGAGGAACTCCATGGGGTCATCAGACTCTGTGCTCAGCAGATCCTGCTGCTTTTCCACCAAACTATCCCCAAACCCAGGACCTCATGTCCACTGCTTCCCCAACACTCCTGCCCTAGGCCAGGCCCTCCCTGGGTCCACCCTGGCCCCTGCAGTGCCCATACCTGTCCCCTCCCTGTTTAACCACCCGCCCCAGTGGGCTGTCCCTTGCGCTTCGGATGAAGCCCCAAGTGCCTCGCTGTGGCCCGCAGGCCCTGACCGCAGAGCCCACCCCCACCCGCCTCATCCCCCTCAGGCCCCTGCCCAGCACCTGGGGCTCAGCTCAGAGGCCACCGTCTCGGAGAGACCATCCCGGTGCCGGGTCAAACCGGCTGCCACCACCCAGCGTTAGCTTGCTTCCTTCTCTGTCCCGAAGCGGCTCTAAGCTGAAAGACAGAGAGAGACAGACAGACACAGAAGCCTGTCCAGGCTTCCGCACTCAGCCACCAGCGCAGGCCCCTGCAGCTGCCACACAGGCCTGGAGGGGACTTCACCCACTGCCCCGAGACCTCGGCAGTGGGCCCCCAGCTTCAGGGACACTGATCAGAATGCATATTCTCGGGGCGCCGGGGCGGTGCAGTCGGTTGGCTCTTGGTTTTGGCTCAGGTTGTGATCTCAGGGTCACGGGATCGAGCCTGCTTGGGATTCTCTCTCCCTCTCCTTCTGCCCCTCCCGCTTGTGCTCTCTCTCTCTCAAATAAATAAATAAATCTTAAAAGGAAAAAAAGAACGCATATTCCAGGGCCCCACGCCAAGGGGCTCCCATGGCGGGAGCTCAGGAATCTGCATCTCTAACTGGCACCAGGGGATTCACCAGCACTCTGGGACAGACCCTCAGGGAGAAGGATCACGCAGGCCCAGCTCCCCCACTCCGTGGGGGCCCTTCCTTGTCCACCCTGAGGGTGGTCAGCAGCCTCCACTGGTGACTTCTGCTCAGGTTCTTCATTTTAGCAAAATGCGGGTCCAGACACCTGCCCTGTCCTTACAGGACGCCGTGGGGCCCGAGCCAGGAAGCCACCGACTCCATGATCTCCACTGTCCCTGGGAAGCTCCCCAGAGCTGGCTGCAGTGAACCCAGGCCCCCATGACCACGAGTCAAGGGAGCTGTACACCCTGTCCCCGTAGGCCCCGGGAGCTCCTGCCGGGGCATAAGAAAGAGGAAATGCTGATGTCGGGTCGAGGATAGGGGCCCCTCACTGGGCACTGCCCCTGGACCCCGTGGGCCCCCCTCCTCTGTCCTCAGGGCAGGGGCAGGATCTACCCTGGACCCACTGCGGCATTTTGGCGGAGGACGGCAGAGGTGAGACACAGAATAGCTCCTCATAAGGAACACCAATGGCCCCAGTGACCTGCATTTTAAGTTTGGAAACACACTCACAAAGGAAACTTGGCTGCCGGACCTAATGGCAATTGCTTTTGCAAACGTGGGAGATCATCTTAAAGATTACATATTAGTGCGGGAAAGACGGACTCCCGAGGAAACATTCTTTTTTATTATTTTTTTTTCTTTTTTTTTTTTTTTAAAGATTTCATTTATTTACTTGAGAGAGAGAATGAGATAGAGAGAGCATGAGAGGGGGGAGGGTCAGAGGGAGAAGCAGACTCCCTGCCGAGCAGGGAGCCTGACGCGGGACTCGATCCGGGACTCCAGGATCATGACCTGAGCCGAAGGCAGTCGCTTAACCAACTGAGTCATCCAGGCACCCCCGAGGAAACATTCTTTAGGTCGTAACCGAGGTGCAAGGTGCAGATGCGCCCTTGGCCGCCTGGGCCCTTCCATGAAGGGTGAGTTGCTCTGGAGGGAAAGTGTGCTCAACCTCGCGAGGAGCAGGGGGCCCTGCAGCGTAAGGTTGTGGGTGCAGGAAGTGTGGGGAGAGACACCGCTGGGCACGCACGGGCCTGCCCAGAACCACCAAGCCAGAGGCACCCACCAGAAAGAGTGCCACGTGTGTCCCTGTTCTCGGGGTGCTGGGCCATGCTGTGGGCACCGCTGACCCTGCAGCACCTCAGGGAATTTCCAGCAAATATCTGTGACTCAGGGGGCATCACGGGGCTGCCAGCGAGGCTCCAGGACCCCCAGAGCTCAGGTGGGCTGCAGGCACCGTGCAGCCCAGAGCCGGAGTGAAGGCGCAGACCCACCCCCCTCACCACAACCCCTTCGACTTCGACTCAGGGGTTTTCTGAGTCCTCAACCCAAAGGTCTCTGATGGAGCCACTTGGCAACATCCGCCAACATGTTCGGTTGTTACCACTGGTGGGGGAGGGGATGCTTCTCAGCACCCTACAATTCACAGCAGTCCCCCCACAGCAGAGAATGTTCTAGATCAGGGGTCAGTGCCGCAGGGGAGACGCGGGGCCACACCACTGCTCCTAGCTGCTGCTGGCCAAGCCCTGGACGGGGCCTCCGGGTGCTCACACCGCCTGTCATGCCCAGTCCCCACGTGTCCCCTCCCTGCCCCCGTCCTGTCCCCACGTGTCCCCTCCCTGCCCCCTGTCCTGTCCCGTGTCCCCTCCCTGCCCCGTCCTGTCCCCCACGTGTCCCCTCCCTGCCCCCGTCCTGTCCCCGTGTCCCCTCCCTACTCCCTACCCTGTCCTTACATGTCCCTTGCCCCCCCATCCTGTCCCCACGTGTTCCCTCCCTGCTGCCTACCCTGTCCCCTCTGTCCCTACCTTTCTCCACATGTCCCCCCACCCTGCCCCCCGCCCCATCTCTGTCCCCCTAGGCCAGGCCAGGACCCAGCCTCCTCCAGGAAGCCACTGTCCTCCCTGACCCCTAATCAGGAACCCCTTCCTCTGCCTCCCAGGTCATGGAGCGTGGATTCCTCTGTGTGCCTCACAGGAGAGCCTTGTTGGTTGGGCAGGATTGTGTTCCTGTCCCCTCCACCGGCCCCGGGCTCCAAAACCACCTCCGATAAGCTGGGGCTCCTGTGACCCCCCCCCGACAAAGAGAATCACCTTGTGCATGGGGATGGCAGTCCCCACCCCTTGCCCGAGCCTCTGTCACCCCCTCCCACTGCTTGTAGAGTCCTGAGAGCAGGGAGGGCCAATGCGGGGCTCACAGCCCGCACCCAGGCCTTCGGGAAACCAGCGTCCAGGGAGGGAGGCAACGCCCTTCAGTTCAGTGGAAAAGTGACCCAAAGAGCTCCATCCTGACCCTCACCCCCAAACACTCCATCTCCACTGTTCTTCTGACACCACGGGTATGACAGGGCTCCTTCCCACCGTTATGTCCCCTTTTTGCTCAGTAAACTCAGACCACTGCAGGAAGGGACCCCAGGGCCTTCCCGGGCCCCTTCCAATCAGCCCTGTGGCCTCGAGGGGACTGAGAATGCTCTGGTGCCCAGAAGTTCCCCTACCTGGGTGGAGGGGTCAGGCGGCCAGCAGGCGAGGACACAGGGGGCAGGCAAACCCTCTGGAAAGAGCGCTCTTCCCCAGCCGAGTTCCAGCAGGATGCTCGGGGCCCAGCCTCCCGGGCCCTCGGTGCTGAGGGGCCTCTGCTGTCCCTACCACCCCCAGAACAGGGGCTGCCCTCACCTTGTGGGGTGCGGCCGGGACGGCCCCAAGTGCCTCCCTCCTCAGGGACCCAGGGCAGTGGCCATCTGTGCCCGCCCCTCCGGCCTGTGGCCCAGGCCACGTGGCCACGGGAGTGCTAGGCAGCCCTGGCCACGTGGGGTGGGGTGGGGTGGGGTGGGTCAGGCCAGGGCTGGCCGGATCTGCGCCCGGGACCTCCTGCGGAAGGACGGGGTCCTGCAGGGCCTGGTGAGGAGGACGTGGCCGGGGGCCTCCGGTCGCCCTGAGACGGCTTGCGGTTGGCCCTCTGCCCATGCCGGGGGAGACCGGGCGCTGGCCATGAGAGACAAATTTAGCCTCCCCACCCCAGGACAGGGCGCACTTGTGAAATATGAAAACAGCAGGAGGCGCCCAATCAAGCTGCCCTCCCACCCTCCCTCCTGGGCCAGGGCCCACTCGAAGGAGGCAGGGCGGGGGGCAGATTCCAGAGCCCCCTTGGCCCTGCTGCTTCTCACCTGCCGGTCTCTTACCCCAGCCGCCAGGCTCCGTCACAGCAAATGGCCTCCTTCCGCAACCAGGCCAGGGTCGTGGGGCCTTCCCCTGGCACCTGGGGCCAGTGCGGAGGGCTGTGAGGGCTCCAGCACTTTGGGTGTGAGTCTAGGGCTTGGCTTAGCACCCACGTGAGGCAGGGCAATGGCGTCAGCCCCCTGAGCACGTGGGCTTCGCACACTTGCGGACTTGCGGAAGGAAACCACGGTAAAGCAAGCCGCCCAGGGCCGTAGGGCTCCGGGTTCGGGCCTTGGCTGGGGGGAGCGTTTGGCTGAGCAGTTTTGGGGACCCACCAGTGAATACCCCAACACCCGGCAGGAAAGGGCTGTCACAGAGCAGCTCCTGGTAGGGGAAGTAAACCAAGAAACACCCAAGCATCGCTAACCACTACAGCATCCCCAAGGGGGTAGTGAGACCAGCAAATCTGCAGCTCATTTTAAGGTCAACGTGGAAACATGCACAGGGAGGTGAGGTCATCGGCCCAAAGGCACACAGCTAGTTGGGGCCGAAGGTCAAAACCAGCAGTCTGCCTCCAGCAACCCTGCTCTTGACCCTGCCCTCTACCTGGCCTGACCCTCCCCAGCCTGCACACCGTGCGTCGTGCCTGGGAAGCCCCTTGCCCACCCCTTTCTTCACCCAGCATCTCAAAGTCCGACCCGCCCTGAGGCCCACCTGCCCTCTGGGGATCTAGCAGCGTCTTTCCTCCAGTCCCCCACCCAACACGTGCAGGTCATGCCCGGCCACACAGCTCCTGTCCCGTGGTTTCCCACTCGGCGGCTCGGCACTGCCCCACACCCCCTGCTCCCTCTCCCTCTCCGTCCACGTCCACACAGCCCCCCTCCGCTGCTCTACAGCCCCTGGACAGGTGTATTGCCCATTCGGAGGCTCTGTTTCCTGCCATGTGCTCAGCAGGGCACTGACCCGGACACATCCTAGGAGCTTGAGAAACAGCAGTGATTACCAGCTGACCAACAGTTACTTAGAATCAGGTGTCAGTGGGGGAAGAAGAAGCCAAGCCCTGATCAGGAGGCAGCGGAGCACAGAGGCGGGGCCAGGTCGCTGCCCTGTCCCTGGTTCGTTAGCAGACGCCCCTCTGCCCTGGTCTGTCCAGGAACGAGGCGCCTGCAGAACGAGGCAGACCCCCGTCCCGGTCTGAAGACAGACCTTCAGAATGCCCGTAGCAGCTTCCTCTACTAGAGGTCCCCTCCCCGAGGGCTCGTGGCTGCTGATTCCC